ATGATTCTATGATTCTAAGAATGGGTCTCTGTGCCCTCTATCTATGAGCATGTTTTCCTTTCTTTTCCTTTGTTTGTATAATGCTGTTAAAATATTGGCGTTTGTATGATTAAAACTCCAAAGAAACTTTTCCTAAAAATAACAAAGGTGGTTTTTTTGTTACTGTCAAAGCTGCCTCAAGTCTCAGCTCACAAAAGACCAACGCCTATGTCTTCTTATATACAAAGGTGTTTATTGCAGTTCATTGTTTGCTTGACATCCTAGGCGCGCAGCCTTACATCTCTTACGCTTAGACCGCTGAAGTCCCCTCTGAATCCGTCCCTCCCCTGCACCAATTTAAGAGGCTTGCGCTGCTCCACCTCTTTCTCTCCTTCCTTTCCGCAGGGTCCTTCTGCCCGCTGGGGTTTCGCCCCTCCTGGATTCCTCTGACGCGGAATCAGACTGCTCTTCCCCCCTCCTGCGGGCTTTGGGACCTGGCCCCTCCTCCGGGCTCCCTGTACTTCCGCGCGCCTCTACATTTGAAACAGGCGCGCGCGCCAAACCTCTAACTTTCCTTTTGACAGTTACACTACTCCCTTCACTGCTCCCCTCCCCTTCCGGGAGGGCGGCTTGCTCTGACCTCCCTCCTTTCTCTGCTGCTGGAGCTGCTTCCTCTAACACACTGGAAACTCCACCCCCTTCGCTGCACTCTGGTGGGGAGGCTGGTCCTGACGCCCAGCTGCCACTTTGGGATCCTCCGCTGGCCCCCTGCTCCTGACACGTCCCCCTGGGGCTCCCTGGCCTTGACCACCGGCGCCCCTTCTGGGAATCCTCTGATTCGCTGGAAAGACTCATGGAATCTCTTGAGTCATTGTCATCCTCTTCCTCGCTGGCTTGTAATTCTTCCCCATCGCTCTCCATCTCCTGCCTACCCTGTGCCTCTCTCCCTGAACCCCTGACAGTTACATTGGCTGTACTTCATGCCAAATGGACTTTCTTATTAATCGAGTTGAGAAAGACCCATCTAGTACACCCTGCTGTAATGCAGGAATCTCAATACACAGTCTCCCATCCCATTTAGAACCATACCAGACCTTGCTTAGCTTTGCCAAACATGCTAGCACTTTTAATGCTGCACCATTAGGAGAATAAAGGTAAAGGTACTCCTGCCCATACGGGCCAGTCGTGTGCGACTCTAGGGTTGTGCGCCCATCTCACTCTAGACCCCAGGGGCCAGCGCTGTCCAGAGACACTTCCGGGTCACGTGGCCAGTGTGACGAAGCTGCTCTGGCGAGCCAGCACCAGAGCAGCACATGGAAACGCCGTTTACCTTCCCGCTAGAAAGCGGTACCTGTTTATCTACTTGCACTTAAGGGTGCTTTCGAACTGCTAGGTGGGCAGGAGCTGGGACCGAAAGACAGGAGCTCACCCCGCCCGCGGGGATTCGAACTGCCGACCTTACGATCGGCAAGTCCTAGGCACTGAGGTTTTACCAACAGCGCCACCCGCGTCCCTATTAGGAGAATAGCTTCCCCTATATGCAATTTTAGGTGATTCTTTTCAAGAAGAGCTAAAATACATGCCTCCATAAAACACACAATTATTCCAGGGCTTCTGGCAATCTTGTCTTTGGCCATTCAGTAGTCCAATGCAGTGCTGGGGCAGAAGCACTGGAATGGATGTTGTTCCACTGCAAAGGAACATCTTTCCTCTTGCCAGAGGTTTGGTTCAGGGCTGTTTGAGACCTATCCCAGGGTCTCACAAATTTCAGTTGCTTTACCCAGGCTCGCTTCTTAGCCAGAGGCCACACTGGTAAAGCAAACTTGGTGGTGCTTTAACGGCAGAATAAACCACCCTCCCTTGCCCCAGGACAAGCCAACCATTCTACAGCTTGAGGCAAGGGCCAGTTTCTTGCTACCATAGCACTTTTAAATGATGGTGCATTGCACAGCATTACAAATAACAAGGCATACTTGAAATCTTTACTACAATGGCCCTGCTGCTCTTCACTCTACTTAACACTTTCACATTTTTTGCAAGCTGTATAAATTTACTGTTTAATGGTTAGGGAAAAATAATTCTCCTTATGATGGGAAATATTTCAAGTCTACCCTATGCAGCCTGATGATGATGCTAATAATAATAATAATAATAATAATAATAATAATAATAATAATAATAATATGCCACCCATCTGACGAGGTTGCACCCAGCCACTCTCGGCAGCTCCCAACAAAAAATAATAAAAGCACAATATGACATCACACATTAAAAACTTCCCTGAACAAACCCATCCTTGACAGGGAAAAGTAGCAAAATGCAACACTGACTTGCAAAATGTTGCAGTTTCCCTGCCATGGCTTATTTGTTGATCCCTTTAGGTCTTAGGAGGTGAAAAAGCCAAACAGGCTGCTGCTTTTTTCACCTCTTGCATTCAAATTCCCTTTGCATCCCGTTCCCTACTGAAAACCTAACAACCTGTGAGAGTGAATGGAATCACCTGCTGCTGCTGCTGCTCCTCCTCCCAGTCACATATCACCCAGTGCAGCAAAGACAGATCAGTGCAACAGAAATTAAAACGGGGCCTGGATTTGGCTAGTGAACTGCCCCAGAAAGAAATTGGGAGCTCACAACCCTGTTCTTGACCAATGTTAGGATGGAGAGGGAAGTCTCAGGCAGATGATGACAAGAAGCAGAACCCACTTCTCTTTTTTTCTTTTCCTTCTCCTCCTGCGATGAGGCTACATTTTAATATTTTAATGTTTCAATATTTTAATGTTGTATTTTTAATTTTGTTTTTAAGTTGTAATCATTTAACTTGTTTTTATTATTGCTTGTAAGCCGCTCTGAGCCCAGCCTTGGCTGGGGAGGGCGGGGTATAAATAAAAATTATTATTATTATTATTATTAAAAGCTGCGGCTGTGAAACTGACGCTTGTCAACAGGGGGTCCCTACTCAGGATGCCTGGTGAACTTTTGCTTTTGCTGTATTGCTTTCCAGAGTAGGGAGCCTTATCCTGCTGGGAAGAAAGCAAGAGGCTAACTCCAGAGAGAGCTCCCAGCTAAGAGCGCCCTTGAGCGTATATGATGGGGTTGCCTGTGGAGCCAGAGGAGGGAATAACAGGCTCAGCAGCTGGCAAGGCCAGAGCGTGGGTGAGACGGATGCCAGATCTTTATCTGCTGTCAAAGCACTCTGCAAAATAAGCTAATTAAGAGCCCCTGGCTCCAAGCTGGGGGTGCATTTTTTTGTGGAAAGCACCTGCCAGGGGCAGACATTGGTAATATGGCATTCAGAGCGAGGAGAAAATTTGCCTCCCCATCCTTATTTTCACTATAATTTCTTTTGGTGCAGTTAATTTTAATGGATCTTCTCAGTGGATACCCATATAAATATAGACTTCTATTATTATTATTATTATTCCCCACCTCTGCTTGGTACCCTGTGCAGTGGAACTCCCCACACCACCCTAAATCTGGCACTGAACATGCTCCCCCTCCTCCCCCAGCCCCAGGTTATTAAAAAGGTGCAATAAACTCAGGCTTTATTTTAGTTTTGTTGGCAGTGCTCTCCTTGTGCCCCATTCTTCTTCCCTTGACTCTTTTAACTCTCCCAAATAAAAAAATCAGGGGCATATTTCTCCTCCCCCCATAAGATGTTATTAAAACCTTTTCATAATACATTAAAAGAAACTGATCTAAGTAAAAACTAAAACAGAAAAAGAAAATCAACTTGGCAAACAGAGTAATAGCAGTGAGCTAATGAGTAGCGCTAGGAGCAGGTGGCGCTGTGGTCTCAGCCACTGAGCCTCTTGGGCTTGCCATTCGGAAGGTCGGCGGTTCGAATCCCCATGACAGAGTGAGCTCCCGTTGCTCTGTCCCTGCTCCTGCCAACCTAGCAGTTCGAAAGCACGTCAAAGTGCAAGTAGATAAATAGGTACCGCTCTGGTGGGAAGGTAAACGGCATTTCCGTGCACTCTGGTTTCCATCACAGTGTTTGGTTGTTCCAGAAGCGGTTTAGTCCTGCTGGCCACATGACCTGGAAAGCTGTCTGTGGACAAACACCAGCTCCCTCAGCCTGAAAGCGAGATGAGTGACGCCAGAGTGGACTTAACCATCCAGGGTTCCTTTACCTTTACCTTTTACCTAATGAGTAGCACCTGTTTATCTACATCAGTGGTGCCCAAACTTTTTTCAAAGAGGGCCAGATTTGATGAAGCGAAGGGCTGTGGGGGTTGACCAAAGCACCAACCAAAGTTGTTGACCTTTTTTAAGAACTTAGGTAAATTTAGGACTGAGCTTTTTTTTAGGGTTGGAGTTGTTGAGCTTCTTTTAGGATTGAAGTTGTTGAAGTTTTTTTAGGATTGTACCCCAGGAAATAAACTGCCACAGGGACCGGATTTAACCAACCGGCAGGCTGGATTAGGCCCCCAAAACAGACTTTGGACATGCCTGATCTACACCATACTGCAAAAAATTGCTTTAACATTTTGTCATGCCCCTTTCTGCAGAATTATATGAAGACTTTCTTGTGCAAAGCAGGTTACTCCTCTTTGGACTGCGAAATCCTTGGAATTTCAGCAAAAGCTCAATGATTACACTTTTCTTTTGCGCGCGCGCGCACTCCCCCCCCCCATATGCATGTAGGAGGGGGTAGATAAGCACTGTGGTGCCAGATTCCATAACAACTCTATTCCGGGCTTTGTCCTTAATTTAGCTAAATCTTTTCAATATGAGAGCCACAACAAATTCCAGGTGACTAGGAGCCATGGAGATCTCACAGGTAGGAGACATCGCATACAGAAAGAGTTCCATACCTAGGGGAACATTTGATGTTTCCTCTTTGTGATGGAGGGGGAAGCGTTATGGGCAATTTTGTAGAATCATACAGAATTCCAACTCAGTTAAAAACTTGGGAAGCTAAGAGTCTAAATTTGGGGGGTGGGGAAGAAACTTCAACAGGATCGTGAGAAAACTGCTGTGGACAGCTATGCCAAGGATTACAATAAAAAGGTGAAGTAGGACGGGCAAAAGAAACAGTAGTTTATTAGAAGGAATAATAATAATAATAATAATAATAATAATAATAATAAACAGTAGTTTATTAGAAGGAAGTTAAAGCCAACTCCTGCTGATGTTAGTTCTATCATGTCTCATTTAAACTGTTAAGAAGACATATTCACAGAATGTTCTCAGAAACCTTATTTAAAGCAAATACATATATTACTGTTAATCTTTTTAAATGATCTAATGAAATATGTAGAAATACATAGACAGCAGTATTTTCCCAATCTTCGGTTTTCTTTATTTCTCCTTCTGTGGGGGCTCCTTCTCTCCCATCTCTCCCATCTCTCCCGTCTCTCCCTTCTCTTCCTTCTCTTCCTTCTCTTCTTCATCCGAAGCAAAAGCTGAGGGAAAAGTCAAATAACCACCAGTTAAAATTGGTATGTGATACATGTGCTGCATTTTCATTATGCCGTATGTTCATTCTTTTTGGCAAAAAAATGGGCACACAAGGAAGACAGGAAATCTGGGCCACAAGGAGGCAGCAAACCTTTGTGCCCTTCAGAGGCACATGCGCAGTCTGCCACTGGCCTCCTGTGTGGAGGAACAACACCCCTGCCAAGACGTCCGCCCAGCAAAGGCAACCCTGGCAAGGTCAGCCTCCTCCCCACAAAGGCGTCTTGAGCTGTGCTCCACACTGGGGGTGGGAGGTGGGGGCTGTAGCCCTCCCACTCCCATAAGCCCCTGCCAACATGGCCAGCAGTCATTATGGAGGATGGGACTTGTAGCCCAACAAAATCTGGAGGGCCACATCCCCTGGATTTGCAAATACAGGATTCTCAAAATTACCTTCTAGCTCCATCAGCTGTTTCCTTCTGAGAAGTATTTCATTCTTCTTATACAGTCTGTCCAGCACCCTCTCAAGTCGTTTGATTGCCCTCTTCAGTGCCTCATATTCCTGGAGAGGACAGGGGATTGGGAAACATTTACACCAGAAGTAGACATTAAATTGACTGGCAACCTCTTGGGAAAGAGTGGATTGCACCTGTCTGCACAAGCCACAGGCTGGACTCAGTTTTGCACTCTTAGAGCTGTTGCCTAAAGCAACAGAGAGCTATGGTTTTCACTCAGAAAGTTCTGCAAAGTTCAGTTATTTAAATCAGTTCGCCTTCTTGCCTTTCACTTACAACATCCTTCCCCAGTCCGGTGCCCTCCAGGTATAATGCCCACCTTGAGCTGGAGAGACTCAAGCTGGGCATTACAGCCTAACACCCCTTTCCTGCCTCTCTCTCTGCACTTACACTGGTTGGAAACTGGCCACCAGTAGCCGAAGCAGCTCCTCTCGGAGATGTTTTCTTCTCCGAGGGCAGAGCCATCTGCAGAGCCGAAGCTGCTCCGCCCGGAGGTGTTTTCTCCTCCGAGGGCAGAGCCATCTTCAGAGCCGCAGCCGCGGCGACAAAAACCGTCTCCAGCCCGGACCCTGCAGTACGCTGAGGGCAGACGGAGAAGCGTGGCAGCTTCGCGCCTCCGCGAAACTTCTCCCGGGACCCCGACTCTTCCGGCCCAGCGGCAGCAGCGCCTTCCACGGCAGGAGTGGGAGCGGGTAATGGGGGCGCGGAGGGCGAAAGGCTCGAGGGTGTCCGAGGGGGCAGAGAAGAATCAGGCACGTCCGACTCGGAGCCTGGGTTCTCGGGCGAAGTGCTCCGTTGCATCCTGCAGGCGCGGCAGCTGTCCCGGCGGCAAGTCCTCTCTCTGGTGTTCCTGCTTCTGTTTAGGAGCCAAGCGCGCTCTCCTGGATCGCTCTGAGGTCCGCGCACAACTGCCGCGAGCAGAGATTCCCACCGCTCTTTTAGTCAGCGGAGCCGTCGGGGAAAGGTGGAGCTCGCGGTGCAGCGGCCGCCAATGAGAGGAGAAAGTGGGCGGTTCTCCCTCCCTCCCACCGCCCCTTCTCGGCGCATCTGGATCGCAAGAAAACTACGTATTGTTACTAAAAGGCAGAAAATGGATATGATTACTTTCCCAGTACAGGCCTGGAAAGGGGCGGCGTGCGTCCTGCAGCTTTGATTTGTTTCCCTGCTGGTTACAAAGGCGCAGTGGACCAGGATAAAGCGCCATTAACATATACATATAGATATATATTTTTTATTAAATTTTCTGTTTTACAATTTAAAGTACTAATTTTTACATCCTTACAATATCAGTGACTCCCCTTCTCTTTCAATGGTTCATTTTACATATCATAAATCCCTGCATGTTTTACGAAAACTATACCATTCAGTATTCCATTATTACTGTACATGCATCAAAACTTATCTACACTGTTAAATTTCTCTTAATGCTGCCAGCATTTTCAGCTGTACTCAGTTATTTCCCATATATTCAAAAAACGTTTTCCAACCTTCTCTAATGGGTCCATTAATTTTAATGGGTCTACTCTGAGAAAAAGCTAGTTGAAGACTTCTTCTTTGGCGACCCACGTAGCGGAGTAAGATTGTCTTCCATAAGCACGGATTTTAACAGTGAGTTCGTAAGTGACTGTGGAGGCCAATTCTGGATCCACACGTCCTTCCACAGTGGGGACATAGGTTTCCGGGCGGGAGTTGACCATGGTGAGGGTTTGCCAAGCGTGCCTTCCTCTTCGCCCGTTTCTCACTTGTGTCCTGAGTTCGAGTGTCTTCAAAGTCCAGGACGCCTTTGGGAAAGGCTGTTCTCCAACTGGAGCCCTCGCAGGCCGGTGTTTCTCCGTTGATGGTGTTTATACTACTTTTTTTTAGATTTGCCTTGAGAGAGTCTTTTGTTGACCACCAGCATTACGCTTTCCCTTTTTAAGTTCGGAATAGAGTAGTTGCTTTGGAAGACGATCATCAAGCATCCCCACAACATGACCAGTCCAACAAATATTATGTTGAAGAATCATTGCTTCAATACGGGTGATCTTTGCTTCTTGCAATACACTGGCATTAGTTCGCCTGTCTTCCCAAGTGATGTGTAAAATTTTTCAGAGACATTGTTGATGCAATCTTTCGAGGAGTTGGAAATGGCGTTGATAAGTGGCCCATGTTTCACAAGCAGACAGTCAGGTTGGTAGTACAATAGCTTTGTAAACAAGCATTTTGGTTTCCCTGCAAATGTTCCGGTCCTCAAACACTCTGCACTTCAACACATTCTCAGCAACGTTATTTTGTCCCTTTACACGGGCGTAGCAAGGGGGCAGGGAGGGGCAGCTGCCCCCCATAATCAATTAAAAATCAATAAAAATGCACAGCAAACTGAGGTTCACCCCCCCTAGCAAAAGACCTGCCCCCCCAATCCTGGCTATGCCCATGTTCCTTCAGCTTCTCAAATTTATTTATTTATTTATTTTTTATAAATCCTGGATGCAGCAAGCCCATTACAGTTCAGACTGTAATTTTATGTAAAGTAACAGGAAACTAAAATGGGACCTATTCAGTTTTACATAGTAAAGGGATGTTACCATGTGGAAGATGTGGGGAAAGGCAGATACTCTTTTTTTAAAGCAGCAAACCTGAAAATAGGTGTGCAGAGTCACCCAACATTAGGAACCAACTCTTGGGTGTTACGGTCCCTTTGCCCCCCCCCCATATTTGAGGGGGCTGTCCCCCCCCGATTTAATGGGCATTGCCATTCAGATGGTGTTCATGTGCATGTCTTGTGATCAATTATGCAGGATGGGGCTTACCAGCCCCCCCAATTTTTTTTCAAGTTGGCACCTCTGCACCCAACGAAGGCAGCAGAAAAAGATGAAAAATGTTAAGATGTGTATTCTTCTCTATTAAATAACAGAAGATAGTAATGTTTCTTTTGAAATATGTACTGTATGTATCATTGATGAGAAAACATTGCAATGAGTTGTTTTGATAGTGTAAAAATGTGCAACAGTTTCCTCAGCTGTGTTTGTTTGCTACAGATATCAAGGTGGGGGCACAATGGTTAGAGTGTCAGACTAGGACCTGGGAGAGCAGGGCTTGAATCCCCACTCAGCCATGGAGCTCCTGTCGCCATCTCTTAGCCTAACCTACCTCACAGGGTTGTTGCGAGGATGAAATGGTTGCCCCCCCCAGCTGGAACTCACCAGAACTCAGTTCCAGCACATCTCAGGTAAGCACCACTGCCATTATAAGAGAACAAGGGAGGCATCCAGTTACCCCATGGATGGATTGTGTATATCCATAACCTCTTGGGGGGGAAAACCACCAAAGAGGAATTCAAACAAATAGCCAGCACGTGTAGACACAAAGTCAGAAAAGCTAAAGCACAGAATGAACTCAGGCTTGCTAGAGAGGTTAAAAGCAACAAAAAAGGCTTTTATGGGTATGTTCGTAGCAAAAGGAAGAACAAAGAAACAGTGGGGTCACTCAGAGGAGAAGATGGTGAAATGCAAACAGGGGACACAGAAAGGGCTGAACTCCTCAATGCCTTCTTTGCCTCAGTCTTCTCCGATAAAGAAAACAATGCCTGACCTGAAGAATTTGGAGCAAATGATTTAGCAGAGGAAACACAGCCCAGAATAACTAAGGAGATAGTACAAGAATACTTGGCTAGTTTAGATGTATTCAAGTCTCCAGGGCCAGATGAACTGCATCCAAGAGTATTAAAAGAACTGGCAGATGTGATCTCAGAACCACTGGCAGTCATCTTTGAGAATTCCTGGAGAACAGGCGAAGTCCCGGCAGACTGGAGGAGGGCAAATGTTGTCCCTATTTTCAAAAAGGGGAAAAGAGAGGACCCAAATAATTACCGCCCAGTCAGTCTGACATCAATACCAGGGAAGATTCTGGAGCAGATCATTAAGCAAACAGTCTGTGAGCACCTAGAAAGGAATGCTGTGATCACCAATAGTCAGCATGGATTTCTGAAAAATAAGTCATGTCAGACTAACCTGATCTCGTTTTTTGACAGAATTACAAGCCTGGTAGATGAAGGGAACGCAGTGGATGTAGCCTACCTTGATTTCAGCAAGGCATTTGACAAGGTGCCCCATGATATTCTTGTAAAGAAACTGGTAAAATGCGGTCTTGACTATGCTACCACTCAGTGGATTTGTAACTGGCTGACTGACCGAACCCAAAGGGTGCTCATCAATGGTTCCTCTTCATCCTGGAGAAGAGTGACTAGTGGGGTGCCACAGGGTTCTGTCTTGGGCCCGGTCTTATTCAACATCTTTATCAACGACTTGGATGATGGACTCAAGGGCATCCTGATCAAATTTGCAGATGACACCAAACTGGGAGGGGTGGCTAACACCCCAGAGGACAGGATCACACTTCAAAACGACCTTGACAGATTAGAGAACTGGGCCAAAGCAAACAAGATGAATTTTAACAGGGAGAAATGTAAAGTATTGCACTTGGGCGAAAAAAATGAGAGGCACAAATACAAGATGGGTGACACCTGGCTTGAGAGCAGTACATGTGAAAAGGATCTAGGAGTCTTGGTTGACCACAAACTTGACATGAGCCAACAGTGTGACGCGGCAGCTAAAAAGCCAATGCAATTCTGGGCTGCATCAATAGGAGTATAGCATCTAGATCAAGGGAAGTAATAGTGCCACTGTATTCTGCTCTGGTCAGACCTCACCTGGAGTACTGTGTCCAGTTCTGGGCACCACAGTTCAAGAAGGACACTGACAAACTGGAACGTGTCCAGAGGAGGGCAACCAAAATGGTCAAAGGCCTGGAAACGATGCCTTATGAGGAACGGCTAAGGGAGCTGGGCATGTTTAGCCTGGAGAAGAGGAGGTTAAGGGGTGATATGATAGCCATGTTCAAATATATAAAAGGATGTCACATAGAGGAGGGAGAAAAGTTGTTTTCTGCTGCTCCAGAGAAGCGGACACAGAGCAATGGATCCAAACTACAAGAAAGAAGATTCCACCTCAACATTAGGAAGAACTTCCTGACAGTAAGAGCTGTTCGACAGTGGAATTTGCTGCCAAGGAGTGTGGTGGAGTCTCCTTCTTTGGAGGTCTTTAAGCAGAGGCTTGACAACCATATGTCAGGAGTGCTCTGATGGTGTTTCCTGCTTGGCAGGGGGTTGGACTCGATGGCCCTTGTGGTCTCTTCCAACTCTATGATTCTATGATTCTTGCCTGAAACATGCAGAATTTTATGTACCAGTTCTTTCTCTCTTCCAAGACACACTTGTACTTCTCACCCCAAATAGTGTAAACTGTAGAATTTTGTGATTACAGTCACTTTATTACTTGGGTTGATACCCCTCTCTTCCGCACCCCCTTGCAGGCCACAGGTTCCCCAGTCCCCCCTTCCAGGAATGCTTTTAGCTCTTACGTTTTAGATTGCAAATGTCTCAGTGAAGACTAAGAGAGACATATTTGGCAGTGCCAACTATGCATGTCTGTTGGGATGGATTCGTATTAAAACTGTATGATCTAGTCCCATGTGGGTCCTATAAGGAAGAAATATGTTCCCATTTCATTTATGCAATAGCTTTCTGCAGAAAACCCATTGCTTAAATAAAAAATTACTTGATGCTTTCTGTACATCTATACCTCACTTCTTTCTCAGTTTCTAGACCTGCTCTGGATCCCAGATGCAGTTGTAATCTTGAGGCAGTTGCACTGCAACACAGATTTTGTAGTCTCCAGCTACATACACACCATACATTTAAAGCGCGCGCGCGCACACACACAGAATCCTGGGAACTGAAGTTTGCTAAGGATGCTGGTAAATGCAGCTCTGCAGTTCCATGGATTCCTGTGTGGGGCATGAATGTGCTTTAAATGTGTTTTCAATGTATGCTGTGTATGCAGTGTTGGAGCAGGGGTGCTTAGTCTGTGGCCTCCCAAGCGTGGTTGGACCAGAACTCCCATCAGCCCCA